TTTATATGGGAATTCATATGGGAAAACTAAACTTTTTGTTCATTGCCTTCTACCGATTTTCCATATTGCTTTTTTTGAAAAGTTCTATAACTATTCGTACGGAAAATTTTCTGAGCTACAACTTTGCGAAATATCGTTTTTCAGTCGAATGTCAAATTAAATAGTTATTAATTGTTAAATAGAGATTGATAATCTTATGGCATGATCAAGCAGCTGTTCTGTGGGCAACACTGTATTCTGCAGTGTGACATAGTAGCCATGATATTTGTGCTCTATTCTTCGCACCAGAAACACCAATGTTGCCTGCTGAACAGTTGAATGAGCATAATCATAAGACATCAGTGACTTGAATCATTAACTTTTGTTCCTTACATTTGATTGAAAAGTGGGTTTCAACAAAGATGTAGCTGATAAAATTTGCTACAATCACTGCTATCATTTTTAAAAGTATAATGATGTGGTGAATTGTTAGATAGATATAAAAAAATAAATAAGTTTTCCCATAGTAATTCCCATCAAATCAGGACCCAATTTGCAACCGTTTGAGCACTGCGGAGCGAAAATTTCAAATTTTGCATTAGTCTAATGGGAACACCTGGGCACTTTAATTGGCACAAATGGCTAGACATTTTCATGATGTTTAAAGTTACTGGCAACACTTTATAGTTACTATATCTGCGCCTGCTCTGTGCATGTGTTAATATGTTAAAGATTTTTGTTGACAGAATCCAAATTTTGATTTCATAACTTCAACCGTGAATTTCCGGCGAAGTTCTGCCGTGGATTCCTCACAGCGCGCATATTTTCAAAACATTAGGATGAGCGAGGTCATCAAGGCGATGACCGTTGCCAAGTACAACTGTAATCTGGCGATCATACTGGAATTCTTCCGGATGGTGCTGGAGTTGCTACCGGAAGACTTCGAGATCGGAGAACCTCCACTCAAGATGATCAAATTGTTCAAAGCAAGGTTGCAAAGACTCATTTCAGCTAAAATAATTTTTTTTCGGAATAATAAAACCAAAAGATGGTATGATGGCATGTTTTACTTGTAACTTACAAGAAGAGGTTACAAAGTATTCGTTGGAAACATAAAACCTGTAAATTTTGCTTTCTATGAGTCACAATCAGCGATTTGCTGATCACTGAGTGAGTGAGTGAGTGAGTGAGTGAGTTTGTGAAAAATCGCTGATTGTGACTCTCATGAAGTGAAATAAACAGGTTTAATATGTCAAACACATTTTTTGCAACCTCTTCTTGTATCCTACTAATTCAAAATTTGATCATGGCATCTAATTATTTCATAATTTAGAAAAACATTGTTTTAGCTGAAATGAGTCTTTGCAACCTTGGTTCAAAGATCTGGTGTTGAAGGCTTTGGTGTTTCAGAACAGTTTGATCGAAGTTGGGAAGGGGTTGACATCGTTCCGGAAGTTGATTGAAAAGATGACCATGAAGAGACTGTTACTGGTCATAATTCCGATGCGGAATGTGATTAGTGAGTTTGCATTTTGTATTTGTATTTGTATTTAAAATAATTTACCAGACAATTTAGTCTTAATGAATAAAATTAGAGCTAATTTAACACAGACCTAATCCAATTTGCAAAACGTTCGGTTGGTTCATTGAAGTCGAAAAACTCTTCGACAGCCGTAAACGCACGAATACACACTGAGATTGGTTCGATGTTCCCAAACATGGTTTGGTGAAAACTTGGTTGCACACGAAAGTTCAACAACGCAAGCAGGTCAGGGGCATCAGTTTCAACATTCAACAGCTTAGCAATAAGCAACGATTGCTGTACTTTCCGTCGTTGTTTGTTGTCACTCCACGGCTAGTTTCTCAGTGTCAGACGAATGAACCGTTTCTGAACCCGTTCGATCCTTAGGCACCACGTGAAATGGTGAGGATGTCAAACGACGGACACATTTTCCAAAATTGGATGGACAAGTGCACAGTACAATGACTTCCAGCAATGTGGATCCGAAAAATACTTCGCAACTTTGGAAATAAAGCCCAACTGTCGCGTTGATTTCGATATGATCGCTGAACGGTGTAAATCAAAAGTCATTTTTGTGTCTAGTAGATCAGTCAAACTGGTAACTCTGGTAAGAGTCGCTAGTAGTCAGTTTGTTTCTCTGGCACCAATCGGCAAACAAAGTCAGCGAGTTTTGCAGAAGCCAACAATCTTCTTGTGTGCGCACCACAATGTACAGCTTTAATCATCTGCATAGACCAGTTTGAATCCTTCACCCAGAACCAAAGCAGCATCGTTGAAGAACAGAATAAACAGCAACGGTCCGAGATTACTTCCTTGTGGAACTCCAGACTTGTTTGAAAACGGCGAAGATACACAACCCTCAACCTTCACTCGAAGTACACACTCTGTAAGGTAGGATTCCAACCAAAAACCCAATTGCAGAGAAACTCCAAGACGAGATAACTTGTGTAGCAGTATGTTATGATCAATTTTATCGAAAGCCGCCTTCAGGTCGGTATAAATTACATCGAGGTCGGTAAGTTGTTTAGTGGGGAGAGCGAGACCCTGAAGGAGGAAGTGAAGGGAACATTGAAGACGTTGGTAGATCAACTTTAGGTGGGGAGATTCGTGATGGAGCTGAAATCACAGCCAAAGGAGGTTAAGTGAAATTGTAAGATGTTGATTGGTCAGTTGTTGGGCTTGAAGGTGAGCTCCTGAAAGTCAGCATTGGAATTAGTTGAAGGATAGGTTTAGCTCTCAGACACGACCCTGGTAACCCAGCGCTTGAAATAGAATTTTCATATGCTTGGCGGAGAAGAAGTCCCGGTAGTAGTAGTTTTATCAGTGGTCTTTTACCATGTTTGATTCCGTAACGTTTCACCACTTCGTTGATCAGCCAACCGACATTCACTTCCTTGATTCGTTCTTCATCGTAACTGATATCGATAAATTCGCCTTCGATGATCACTCGGACCATGTTCGGAGGTAGAATCTTCACCGGTATTTGCTTTCCTACCATCTACATCGCCCCAGCTTTTACAGGTGTTCTCTGGTCTGCACTGTTTTTCGCCAGAGACATCATACTTCTCTCCATATTAAACCCCACCTCCACCAGGGATGTCTGATTTCGGTTAAAACTCCCACTAGAACGCTAGCGACGCATCTTTGACTGAGAAACTCTTCCCGGAAGCGTTCATCAGAATCTGAAGAGCATTTTCGACCAGTTTTCTCTGATGATGCACGATAGCTTCTTCTACCTACCATCGTCACCTGTGGTTCATCCAAGTCCTCATCATGCTCCAATCCAGTAGAAGTTATTGTCCTATCGGAAAATGGAAATGCCACCCCCGGATAATGTTCTCGCTTGATGCTTTGATTCGGTAGCGGAGGCCGTTGCTTATAAGGTTCAGTGTAGTCCTACGTGTAGCAACGAACCAAGAGTCACGACAGTGAGGATCTGGGATACGATTCCACTGCTTCTTGTTTTGGTTCTTCAAAACAAAACATGTGAACTGTCAAATTAACCAGTTTGCCAAACATACCATTGTTCAAACAAAAACTTCAGTCTGATGACACTCTCGGCACTGCCGGCACAGCTGCGGCACACTGAGAAAACAAATAATTTTCGGCGATCACCTGTGAGCTCAAATAAACGAACTCGTTGACCACCTCGACTTCGTCACCTTAAATCTGAACTCGGGGTGGAAGGCGACGATCCCCTGCCGTAATGCGTCTTTAATTTCTCTGCTGGAAGCATTTTTGACGAACACCAGTGAGCCCACATACACGAACTCACACGAACTTGACCACCTCAATTTCGACACCGTCAACCTTAACTAGATGTAGGAGGCTAACATGGTCTTCTCTAGAACCTCTTCCTCTCATGTATTTCGTCTTCAAGGCGTTGATGGCAAGTCCAATCCGTCTAGCATTAACCTTCAGTCTGATGTACGTTTCCGCCATCGTCCCAAAGTTCCGTGCCATAATGTCGATGTCATCAACGAAGCCAAGAAGCTGGATGGACTTGCTGAAGATCGTGCCACTCGTGTCTATCCCAGCTCTTGTGATCTGGAAATAGCAGACACGAAAGTCCATCACCTTGCCGTAACCACGTTCGATATTCAAAGGGACTCGAGAGTGTCGCCGATACTCGAACAACGCACATCACTCGATCCACCGTCGCCTTGACCAATCGCGTCAGTTTATTGGACCAGTGGCCAGAAGTGACGCTCGACTCGACTTACATAATAAGGCATGGCAAGATCAAGAAAACAAAGTTTCCATGCAAGGCTGCATTAAGCAACATTTATTTCAACATTCATGAGTGGGTAAAATCTGCCAATATCAAGTTCTTCACTTGCCTCTCTTGACGTCCTTCAAAATATCCTGAAAGTGCATCTTGATCCGATCCCAACGTTCGGTCACAACCTTCTGCGCCGTCGCTAGTTCTTCAAACTCTTTGGCCAGCTTCTCGATGGTTTCCGATGGTGCATCCGATGGTTCCTGTATGGTCACTTCATCTCCGGTAGCTTCAGAAGTGGCAGTAACCTCTGCCAATTCAACTTTGGAACAGATGGTAGGAAATTTCGTCATCTCAAGATGTTCATACCGTTGACGGCAGTCTTCTTTCTGGCCGGAACATCCCGGGCAAGCCAGCTCGGTTTTACACCAATCCTTGATACACTGCTCGTGGAAGCGACCGTTGCAGGGGGTCTCCAGAATCATGTTGTTCGCCGCAGACAGGATCCGATCGCAAATGTCACACAGGGAAGCCATTTTGCTTTATGGGTGTTGACGAGGTGACGGTTTGCTTGAAAATGGTTGCAATCGATTGATGGTTGGAAAAATAGCCTGCCAAGTTCAAAACTTTCGATGATTTTCAAATGTTGGCTGCTGTTTTATGATTGAAGCATGTGCATGACCGTCAACTTTAATCCCAGCGATAGAATCCGACAGCTAAACATCGAATAAATCACGCCTCTATCGATTTTCGTCCCCCGAGTTTTACCGCTGCTGAGCCTTAAATTCGATTGTTATTCCCTGTCGAACGCATAAATTTTACAAACTCCCGCAAACAACAACAGTCGAACGAACAACTTTTGCCTCTGCATTGTAACCAACATATATTTACATCGTCATCATCAATGTTGTATGTTTTCACCTTCCGAATGGATTATGTACATTCAATTTTTTGTCGTCATCATTACCATTCCATGCTGTCGGCATTGGTCCTTGGGACCGTCCGACCGTCGTCGCCGTCGTTGTCGTTGTCGTCGTTGGGTGTATTGAAATGACAGCCCATTGTGTGAACCAAACAAATAATTGAACCATTCGGGTGGTGGGCGAAATCGAGAGTGAACGAACTCATCCCACCCCATTCCAGAGAAAATTGACGAGGGAAAATCCAATTCTTTTCATATCGGGGAATCGAATTTTCCCGATTTTCCTCGGTGCTTGAAAAAAAGTTAAATCGGGACGTAAGCACCGGGATAAAAATGCAAAATTTTACCTTTTCGTAATTCTTTTCCCGGAGCCCAACGACCGACAATGGATTAGAAGCCAAATCGAAGAAAAATATTGTAACCAAATCCCATTGTGGTGCGAAGGAGGAATACAAAATCGATTCTTCAACAGGTTCTTAAAGGGGAAAACGGTGAGTGAGTGAGTGGGTACTTACCGAGCCGTTTCGAGATCTCCGAGTTGTGCATTTTTGGGTTGTCCTGGGCGATCTTCCGTCGCTGCAGCCGGGACCACACCATGAAGGCATTCATCGGACGTTTGATGTGCTCTTCGGCGGGTTTCTTCATCATCGTCTGCCCCAGCAGGCTGTAATAATAGGGAGAACTTTGGACTGTTAGTTGAAGCTGCCGGTTCTTCGGTGGGCTGGATGCGAAGGGGTGGTAGATATGGATTTTTTCAATGTATGGCAATATTTTCGCAAATTTTGAGTGAAACGCAAAGTAGTAAATTTAGTATTCTCTTTAATATGGCGATTTTTTTTAACAATGAACCAAATCAGCTGAATTTGTGCACATAACATAAGTGGAACTCGATCATCAAAAATCGACCCCATTTCAGTGATTTCAAGTGGTATAGTAGGACATCGATCTGTCAAATTGGTTATGCCAGCTGTAAATTGAGTAAGAAGATCAAGGGGGTAGTCAATTAAAATATTTCCAATGTGGTTTATAATTCGATATCTTCTTAGGACTCGTGAACTCATGTCTTTGTATTGCCATAATAATTTACGTTCTTTATTTTTAATTTTATAGCTTAATTTAAAATTTTAAATTATCATTTACATAAAAAAGAAGACGTATTAAATGATGACTTGCCACCTAAAAAACGTAATTTAAAGCTGCCATGGGTTAACTGCTTTCAATTAAATTTTAAAAGCGATGCGTATTGCTTTTCTGTACAATTATTACCAAAAATTTGAGAAACTCCAAGCGAGTACTTGTTTATTTCTTTAAATTTGCATGGGTAATTTTTTTTCAATTTTCTTTTTTCTATGATAAATTTAGATAATAAATGTATGACCAACTTTTTTAATCATTAACATTTTTTGTTGGAACCAATTGCATCAAACTTTCATTTCATTTCATAATGTATGAGGGAAAAAAAGAACGCCCAAATTTGGAATTTGATGCATACAGTTTAAAGCAACATCATTTTGCAACAAGTGTCCTGGTTCATATATAAGTATTCAGCAAATCTTAAGAAGCTGTCAAAGTTCTACCGCCAGTATAAAAAAGAGCTGAATATTGAAAAAAAAAAAATCATAGTGTGCCTTGAGAAATTGAAGTATATTTGCTGGCGATTCTTTGAAGCCTTGTTCATTTGATAGCTGTAGCGTAACTTCTTCTTCTATGTATTAAAACGTCAAACAGACATATGCTGTGTTTTGAGCTAACCTTGCATCTTTTCATTCACAAGAATTTTGCAAGAAGGATGCCAAATTAAATCGAGCGCTTATCGATACCTGTAATACCCAAGGTTTCAAGCCTCTCTATGTTTCTCAATAGCGTAAAATTGAATGTTTCTGCTCAAATCCCAACACAAAGAACTAGTGACTGGTTAAAAATGCGCTTGATTGATGAATCTACGCGAAACTGCACCAGTGCATGCGACACCTAGGTTTGAAATCCAAAACCACAAAAGTGATGATGTACTAAAAAATATTCCATACGATTTGACAGCTAGCAAAACGTCATTATCATTTTCACATAATTTCCATCTGCTGGCCGACCGTAACGTAGATTCATCAATTGACTTCTGACCGACTTGAAAACACGCGTTAATAAATCCTATGATAGGCCCCCTGTGCCCCAGAGCTAGTGTAAAAAAGAATGGCCGCATTACCTTGACAGTTAGCTTTTTCGGTCACTCTGTAATAGGGTGACCATATTAAAAACTTGAAAAAGAAGACATTTCATTTGAGGTTTGGAGATTAAGGCGGACAATGATTCCCTTTGTTAACATTAAAGGAGGACAATGAGTTTTTATCAAACGTTTTAATAACATGTGCGCTATCACAAAGTTCATGATTTGCAAAGGTTCAATTGAGATTGTTCATAACTTGTAGTTGTTACCAATTCAATTCATCTTCTCGTTATACTTCTGAAAATGCATCAAACTAGCCTTCATAATTCATTTTTGATACTTGGAAATGATTTAATCTAGCTGATTTGCATGAAAACCACAGCTTTACAGCCTTAAAACCATCCCAAATTTAATCATGTTCAAAAATCAGGATACATGTCATCGCTGATTGAAACCAACATGAAACATCTAAGCAACCTGTTAATTTTACCATTGATTCAGCATAGGACTCTAATGTCGTTTTCGTTTTTGCTACACTACACCGGTGTAGTGTAAGCAGCAATAAGCTGGAGTCATTGAAAGCTCATCATCATTTGTTTGTAAACAAAGGTGCAACCGATAGCTACACCCTGAATTTTTAGGTGTTCGCCGATAGCATGTAGCACCGGTGTAGCGAAAACGACATGACCCATGGAACAATTTGGGTTTTATGAGGGTTCTGAAGACCATTATTTAAACTTGTAGAATGCTATAAAACCACGATAAAACTTGCAATGCTACTTGCGAAGGCCGCTGCCATAGTGGGAGCGAAGAGGCGCGCATAACGTTCTATGCAAAAGAATTCCTTTTATTGATATTATTCCTTACATTCGATTTCACGATTCGCGTGCCTCTTCGCTCTCAGTATGGTAGCGGTCTAAACAAAAAATACCTAAAATCCCATAGAACCAGAACGCCAACGTCGAACACATGTTGGATTCAATCTGTGTGGCTGTGTTGCATTTGGTGAATTATAACTTAAATTTCACAGATGGAAAATTTTCAAATAAACCTGCTATTGTACCAGACTTATTTATTTTTTTTTCCTTTGGTTTGTTTTTTCCGTCGATCTTGTTTTCCGTGCTGAGCACCAATGCTACCGACGTGCCAGGAAGGCAGCTCCCACACCTGGACCCTACCTATCGACCCATCAACTCATGAACCGGGGACCAACGGCTTTACTTCCCCTCCGAAGGAAGGCGTGATCAGAGATGTTATGCCTCAGAACATCCCGGCGGCGCCGACTGGGATTGAGCCCAGGCCTGCTGGAGTGAGAGGTAATTACGCTTACCACTACACCATCGGCGCCGTTGAGACTTATTTCTTTCAGACCAGGAATAAATTTGAACAAACACCTCGAAAATCATATGATCAACAACAGAGAGATTTTCCAACATTATAATTTCTTTTCGAAATGTCAAATTTATGTAAAAATTCAGAAAAATGGAACACAACTAAGACTATTTTCATTTGATGAATTTTCACTGACGCTTCGAAAATAAATTGCAAAGTTCGAAAATCCCTATGTTGTTGATCGTCCGATTTTCGAGAAATTGTTTGTTGGTTTGTCTGAAATATGTCTGGTAGAATAGCAGGATAATTTGAAAATTTTCCATCTGTCAAATATAAGTTAAAATTCACCAAATGGATCGCAGCCTAAATGTAGGGAGTTGACAACTGTAGTATACTCCTAGTCCCACCATCGAATAACATTTGCTAGATAAGATGAGGTTGCGACGTAATTAACCAAATAAGGTCTGCCAACAACGCTCTTTGAAAACAATATTATGAATATGTTACTGGAAAAAAAAATGCCAGAAGGACATTTTCGGGCAAGAGGAGGATGAAGAAAAATTATTGAAAAAGGAGGACATGTCCTCCTTTAGGATACCATATGGTAACCCTACTCTGTAACCCTTTACTCCTATGGTAAAATCACATAAGCAAACGTCACTCTGTGCGAGAAACTTGTCAGACATTACCTTACTCTTTCACTCCAGTAAAAAATCTCATAAGATCCTGTTAATCTTTGCATGAAGAAACGGTGGCTCGCTGGTACCATGGTGGAGTGAAGGGATAAGACAAAATCCGCTAGCCTTCGGAATTTTACCATAGAGATTGCTGACGTTTATCGTACGCACACAACGTCACGTATAGGTATACGCAAAATGTTTTCATCAGAAAAAAAAAACTTCATAGCGGAAATTTTTCCCGATGAAAACAAATCACTGACACAATCACACTTTAGCAATATCTATAGGAGTAAAGAGCTAGAAAGCCACCGTCAACCAATGACGTTTATATAAGGTCTGGGCCAAAGGGCTTATTGGTGTTAGTGAAATGTGCAAATGGTTAGTGGTGTTCGTATTATATTGCAATGTTTATCTTTTTACACGAAACAGCTGTTGGCAGTGACGTATTTCTATCTGTTCTCAGTATGTTGGCAGTGACGTATATCTATCTGTTCGCAGATGTTCAGCAATGTTTACAACATTTTTGCTTCTAACACCAGCAAGCTGCCTGTTGGCCCAGCCCTTATATAAATGTCATTGACCGTCAACGGCAATACTTACACGTTATTTCAAAACTACTCCAATTTGGGTAGAATCCTCCCGGATCGGTCACAACTGAACCTATTCAAAAATGGATAAACTATGTTGGAAATGACAAGCTGACACATGAGCAACATTGGCATGGATCCAACCGACGTTGTTCAATTGTTAACCTGTCACTCCCAACATAGTTTACCCATTTTTTGATAGATTCAGTTTTGACCGATCAGGGTGGATTTTACTCACATTTGGGTAGTTTTAAAATAGCGTGTACTGAGCATGTAACCAAATATCTGATTTTCTTTCATAAGGACCAAAGTCACAGACTTTTCCACGAATTTCTTGAGAATGAAAACTCGCTCAAGTAAGCCACCACAATGTTTGTGTATTGAGAAAGTCCCCATAGCTGATAGAATTGCTGGGTTACATGGATTGACTTTGAATCACAAGATATTTACGAAAGAAGCCATTGCTTACGTTTCCGACATTGGCCCAGACTCAGTGTCGAATCACGAAAATTTAATTTTGACAGGTCGATGTCCAACTATACCAGTTATACCACAGAGGAAACATAAAAAAGGGGTCAACTTTTAGTCAGCAGTTTTGCATGAAGTTCCACATATGTTATGTGATTTGTGTCCATTTACATTAATTACTATATTATAGCATAGAGCACATCGCTTCCATAAAATGTTAATAAATGTTCATGTTGAACACGGACCGTCTTCCGGTCTTCGACAAAGTTTTTGAGCATATAATTTCCTATTATGGTATTGGGTTTGGTGATATTTGAGACGTTTGCAACGGCACCTAGCGACAAAAATTTAAAAATCGTTTTTCTTTATACTTTTTAAACTTCAACTCGAAAAACGATTTGGCTCAAAATTCGAATAAAGCCAATAAATTGCCCAG